TCTACACTGCAAGTTGAAAAAAGACATTATTCCTATGAAGAGAGCCTGTTTGCATATAAGTGCACTTTAAATGGATGCCAAGCTCTGAGCGTGAACAAATATCAAAATCGCCATCTTTTGAAATGAAACAAAAGGGCCTTTTTTTGTTTATAAAAAGTAGCACGGATAAAATTTCTGTCCAATGAGTTTTACTTTTAGAAAATTTTATATTGTTTTAAAAACATAATTATATAATTTGATAGCTAAATAAAACAGAACTATATGAAGTCGAGGATGATTACTTTTTTGAAGATTCTCGAGAAAATTCTTCTATGAAGGTAAGATTGCATTTCCAATGTTCGGCCGAAATGCTCCCCCTTTACTTACAACCAGTAATAAGCAGCTGATACTTATTGGAAGTGTGGCTATGTCAATGCTCAACTCCTTAAACTTGTAATTTTAAAGTCAGCCCAGACGAAAAGGATATTCTTATCAAACATCGGGAGTTACTCTTCTATACCTAGGATATTTCGAATAAAAAGCCGTTTTTGCGTTATATGAAATGGGACACCACGTTAATAAATGAATATCAAATTAGCCGTGAAGTAATAGTGGTCCAGGTAGCCAGTTGTTAACGCCTCAACCTTTACTGAAATCAATTTGAACATTTTAGATCGATGTGTATCAGTTATTTTTGGAACTAGAGGTGACCAGAGTGAACCTTCGGCACCTGCACCAAGTGCCAAATTCATCAGGCTTCTCCTGAACACCTCTTGGATAGCATGGGACTCTCTAAGGTGGACCTCTTTAGCAATCCTCTCCTTAGTCTTCGACTTTCTTTCAGTCAACGAACTCGTGGATCTTGTCTGACTCCGTCAGATAGTGTGGATAAGCAACAACAACAATTACAACATAAGCAATAACAACATATACAATTTTTACCACATTGCCACTATTCATAATTTTGAAATTCTAGTATGTCCATTGTCTGGTTGACAACTGGCTGTTGTGGGTGAAATGTACTTACTTTGCAACAATTAAATGAAATACAAATTTTTATAATAATGTAAGGCTAAATAATTTAAATAAATGATTACAGTAAATACAATTTACTTAATTGCCACTTAAGTTATTTAATATTAAGTTTATAATTATTTCTATGATAATGCAATTTATACTAAATGCAGAAATACTTTTTAATTAACAAATTATCTTCCCTTTCAAATCGAAAATTAAATATTATCATTACTCTTTATCGGCGTAACTGGAGAGTCAAGAGAGTCTCAACTATTCATGATTATTTGAAGCTAATAAAAATGAGTTATGAGTTGAAATGAAGCTGCCATTACAATCATTGGACCCAATGAAAGAACCTGTTTTAAATGTTAAGAGGGAAATAGGCACCCGTTTCATCAATAAATTACTAGATAGTACTAATTGAACTAAGTTAGATTTCATTAAACTCTTAAGATGTTTGGAACATCTTGACAAAAAACACTAATTTTTTAAAACATAAATGCCTTAGTTTGTATTCTCTTATAGACGCAATTTTTAGGATGAAAAAAAAACTTGTTTTCAAATTTTTTTTTAGTGCTTTAGGTGGAATAAATTCAGACAGAAACATTTGCAATAACTTTTTTGCTTTGTTTTTAAACCTTTTTTATTGCATTGTATCGATTATTAATGAAATAGTTTTTTATTTTTTTCTTTCTTTTAATTACTCGTAAATCAAGGGATACATATAATATCCAAGACACATAAAAATAAAAACAATAAAAATACACTAAGACATGAATGAAATAGAAAATTATTACGAATACTAAAGACGATTTCTCAAAATAATGTTTGTTTGATGGTAAAGGACAGTAAAGATTGTTAAATGATAAAATTGCGGCGAAAATTAGGAATTTATTAGGTTGCCATGTTAATAGCATGTCAAATAAATTCTCGTTTGAAAAAATAAAATACGTGCTCTTGTGGGTTAATATAAATCGATTGAATTTTAGAAAAATCTGATTAAAGAGACATGCCGGACATTATTACAAAATTGAACTTTTTACGTTGTTTGTTCATTAAATATTTTCTAAAAACTTGGAACACAGCAACTTATTCAACTCTTAAAGAGGGATGAAATCTTATAGCTCTTTCTTTAAATCAACACTTTAACAGACTCACTTGATAATATCCCTAAACTGAATAATACTTTTTCTCACTGTTTTTTCAAAAACATTTAACATAAACATGCAATATAATCCCTTAATAAAACTTTATTTTCGAAAACTCAAATTTAAATGACACATCTAGTATTATTATTAAATAAAAAATTTAGCTTTTACAATGTGTTTACAAAATGTTTGCTACAGTCATGTAACGCTGTAACTCATTCAAGCTCTTCTTTAGAAATATTAATGGATTCTCAGGAATATCTCATTTAAAAGGCATACTTGATATCATTACAAAATTGAATAAATGAATCTTTACACTGTTTGCTTTTAAAGCATTAGCTACAAAAATTTAACGCAATAACTCATTGAAACTCTTCTTTAGGATATTTAGCATTTCTCTTAGAAGAATCTGTGCTGGAATTACAAACATATATGCTCCTATACCATGTGATGGAGGCTAGCTTCAAACTCACTCTCACCGGATCTATTTATCTACCTCTTTGCTGATTAAAGCAGATTACGTAACATCAGACATTTTACACGAGGCTTTTAGCATCGTATTTGCACGAACAATCGCTCCTGTAGATTGGAAAGACACCATCAGAGTGGTGAGAGTCTTTTGATATGCAAATGAGGTTTAGAAGCATTTTGAAGATATTTGGTTAAGAATAAATCTAACATTTCGTGATGATATTGTTCTCTAAATATGTTATGCTAATAAAGAGATTTTTAGAATAACTTTCGCTTTCATTTTACCACTTGATAGGATGCAAAACAAATACCAAGCGTATCATAGCCCATTTAATCCTTACACTAATGGAACAAAAATGTCTTTGTCTTCTAATGTTCTATATATATAATTCTTCTTTTTCAAGAATTTGTAGAATTTTCTATTTTTTATAGTCCATCAAATGATTTATTTTTAATAAGAAATTTTAATGTAAATTTCATTTTAAATGATTTCTCACTTTTCTTCTGTTATAAAAAAAAACAATAAGTAATAATAGAAATGAAAAAATGTCAATTTCTTCTTTTTTCATTGGTTAAAAATGAAAAATTAAATACGTCTTCAAGTCTCTAAAAATTTTATAACTTTCAAGGAGGAAATTAAAGATTTCTTAAATTAAAAAAAATGTTAAATCACGGAAGACAATGAATTTCAGAAACGTAAATTTTGTAACTCATGCTTATAGCTCATACTTATTTTGAAGTTTTAAAAATATATTTGTACTTAAATTGAAAAAACTGAGAATTTCTTAAAATTAACTTTAAAAAAAAGAAAAAGCGAGAAAACAAATGGAAAAATTAAAGCAACATAATTACAGAAAAAAAAAACAAGTGGATTGCTCTTGATGTTTGAAATTTTTCATCATAAATTTTTAAAATAAAAAATGACATTGATTGATGAATTAGAAAAAAAAATAAGGAGAAAAAATGGACAAAATATTGTTGAGTTTGAAAATTTGTACATAATTGAGGACCTCTTAAAATTGCGTCACTGTTTTACAATTTAAAACAGAATTTAGAAATCTCCACCAATTCTGTAACAACATTCAAAGCTATCAAAGGAAGTATTAGGGCACTTCATGAAAGTTAAAAATCACCTAGCAACATCTTACTGGAAACGTTATTGCAAAAGGCTAGTGGCACCTCCTATTTAAGAACCAAGATGTCAGTAGTTTCAGTCAAACTCGCTTTTCTATCTAAGACTCCTCAAACTTATTGCATAACGTAGAAGCAGATATGCAATATATGAATAACAATTATTTTTTTAGATATTATCCATTTAAGTACATACTTCCTTTAAAAGAGAATACATACTGTTTTTCTAAGCATTATCCTGAGCTGATACTTGTGACAGGAAAGGAAACCTTAGTTAATTTAATAAAATTAAATTGAAAAAGAAAACATTGAACCTAATAATCCTTTAAAAACTAAGGCAAATGTATAAACTCGTGATGCAATAAAAATTTTTAAAAGAAAAGAAAAACTAACAAGTACGGCATTTTTTAAAATTTTCATTTTATAAAATAACAAAATAAGAAGCCTTGCTGAAATTGGAAAAAAAATAATCTCACTTTATTTAAATTTCATTTTATACTATTACGTAATTAAAACGTTTCAATCAGTTTGTTATTTATTTAATTAAAAATTCTCTTGTCTGAAAAGTGCGTGTAATTAAAATGAATAAAGAGCTGAAATATTTAAGTAGATGATTTCATTTTAATCGCGAGATATAATTTAATTTACAATGTGATGGATTTATTATAAACTAATGTTACTTATCTAAAAGATTTAATATTAAACAATTACAGTTATTGATGCCAAAAAATTTTAAACTTTGCTTACATTTCAGAGGTTAATTTAAAATCTGTAAAAAACTGTTAAAATCCGATAAAGCCTTAAAATGATCAAAAATTAGTTTATTTTTTCAAAAAGAATATTTCAGTTTATTTGTTGTCCATTCTCCCTGCCACAAAAATTCACAGACATATATATACTACATACATATTGTTATTTTTAATAATATAATTATTTTTATGTTTCTTTTTATATTAGTCACGTTTTCGTAATTTTGCATCTACCTTAGCTTGAACTTGCTAAATTTTAATTAATGAATTAAATATTGTTTACACCTTCATGTATGCTTGAATTTCACATCTACAGAAAAAAATTTTTCTCATAATTGCTGCTAAAAAAGACTTTGTGATATGCTAGAAATTTAAGTATCATACATATGTTCAAATATTTGTTTAATTGCATTATTTTTAACAAAATTTTCAGTTTATCCGTGTATTGCAGCTACCTTATAAATGTAGATAGATATTTCATACAAACTAAAAATAAAATAAATGATGAACAAGAAAAAATTTATTTGTACATCGCAAACCAAAACTAATTATACACTGTTTATTAATATAAAGAAAAAATATTTCACGTTTAAGAGTGAATCTAATAGAGCAAAGATTGTTCATAGGAAACTAAAACATATGGAATTGATGATTAAAATATTCAGATCTCGAGATTAGTCCTTAATATCTTTCATAAAAGACTTAGTGCAAATGATTCCAAGATAAAGTATTCATTCTATCTTGTAGAAATCTCTCAGTAGTAAATACTTCTGGACATGTTTGGGAATGCCCAGTTCCTCCACTCCTTCGGGCAACTTAAAGTTGTCAGTCAATCGGTTTCTGATGAAGCATCGTGAAAGGTGTTGCAAAGATCGTGGACTCCTAACAGAAGTTTCTTCATAATTCACTAGATTGCAGTACCATTGCCATATGCTGGTTATCTTCCGATGGTATATATGATGGACCCCTTCAAAAAGCCTAAAAATGTCATCCAAGGTCAAAAGCGGATCTGGTATAGAGCTCCAGAGTACTCGCACGGCCATTTCGTCATCTGCAGATTTACCGGTGATGTAAGTGAACCTCATATACAGATTCAGAAGCTGAAGTGCACGGAAGTTGAGAGGATTACTAGAAATATCATTCCAGTTTTCCGGCCACGTACCGTAGCCTTCAACATCAAACAACCTGAAAAAGTAAGAAAATTTATTATAAATTAAAACTCAAATTCAATTTTTTAAACGTGTGTAAGAAACGTTACTCTGTTTCAATACATTTTAAAAGTTATCGTAAACACGAAATTATAGTCGGCTTTGTGTCCAGGAGATCTGAATTCAAAATTGAAGTGAAAATAGTCTGAGTCAAGCTGAGCTCGAAATATATGACTGTGATTCTTTTTTTAACCCAGTGATTAGTAAGCAATAATATAATAATTATTTGATCCTTATTAATAAGAAATAATAACTATTTTAACTATATTACTTTTAAGCGATATTAAGTCTTAGTAAAAAAAAAAATTCAGATTCCTTAAATGATGCTTAAAGGAAATTAAAAAAAAATTCCGATTTTAAACAAATAGATACCATCCGAGGCTTCTGGTCAGTGTCGCAGTTATTAACTTTTTAGTAGATGAAATTTCCACCAGGCTCCTGAAATGATTAGTGATGAAAGTGATGATTTAGTGATGAAAGTTCCTGTCCACCAGGTTTTAGAAAACAATTAGTGCAATCTATGACTAAACTAAACAACTATGATTAAAGATAAGAATAATAATAAGGATAAGAATCATTTCACTTTTCTTTCACTCAAAGGGGATTCAAATTGTTGTCGTATTGTGTAGTCAAGAAGTAATGGTACAAAGTGCATTAGAAGAAATAATGGTTTAAGTAATTACTTCAACATCGCTCAACTTAAATAATTGCATTTTACTTGTTATAAATAGTTCAATATGAACCTTCTATTCTAAACAAAAATAACATGGGGTTTATGGATTAAAAACAGGACTTTATACTTGAGGCAGTGTAATAGAAGTTTCGCTGTTATAAAACTACTAAAGAGTGGAGACTGTATCTCTGCCGAGCTAATTAGATTTTCTTCGGCAAGTCAACAAAATATTAGAAATATTTTTATAAAAAATTTAGTTTCGGTCTTATTCGTTTCCTAGTTTAAAATAAATGCGATACTTAGTTTTCTATTAAAATTAAATATTTAGAAAAACTTATTTTCGAACTTTTATATTCAAACACAAAGTTTACAATCTCCATTAATATGAACTAGAGAACAGTTGTTTTGCTTTTTCATAAAAGAGGTTACAATACAAGTAATTATCTTGCACTTATGGAGAAAAATTTAATATTATTTTAGTGATGAAAAAAATACCTTAGGATCTCTTTAGAAAATCTGAAATAAAAAACACTTTTTGATAATTTCACAACTTTTAATAAATTTATAAGTTTTAAAAGTTATAAATCGCTCAAAATCTTATAAGAATTGGACTTTTTATTGGACCAAATATAAATATATTATTTTGAAATATGTTTTTGAGAAGATTTAAAAATCATTGCCATTTCAATTATTTTCCAGTTTAGAAATTAATATAACTAATAATAAAACCGGTAACTAAAATATTTATAACAGTGCATTATTTATATCACTATCGTTATTCCTTAACACAATGCAACGATTTTCGCTATAAGGAAAAAAATCTTAAGCCTGCTTGAATACGTTAAGCTAGCTAAAGAAATTTATTAAAGAATTAATTATTTAGAAATTTATTAAAGAATTTTATAATATTTGTGCATGCAAAGCCTTCGCAATACAAAATATGACATGGTTTCACATGCATTGCAATTTTTTACCGCAGCGACACCTAATCTTTTATGATATAGAATGATAGTTAAGCTGTATATCTTTTTCTTAAACTTTTCAATGTATAGTTTAATTTAAAGTTCTTTATGCTGTACTTTAAGGGATTCCTACAAATAATTTTCGAAGTACGACAAAATTGTTATAAGTCGTTTCACTGTAATATCAAAAAAACTATAAGCCTTACTAATTTAAAAATTTACAGGATGCTGCAAAAAACCCGGACAAAGTAATTGCATCACAAAATGGAAATTATCTAATTTATTTTTAATTTTTGAGTTCATTTCTCCTCGTATCTTCTGAATATGAAATATTTTACTCACTCAATATAACTCAATAATACACACTCAATATAAAATATTTTATAGTATACGGACTTCTTATTACGCGGACTTTTTTCTTCTTTCATTTTAAAGTTGTTTAACCAAGACGCGATTGTTCTGCATAAAAAGTTTGTCACTATAAAGCAACCACTTCATGATTTTTTTTCTGCACTCTTAATATTTGTTAAGTTAATTATGAAATATAACATAATACCTCATTTTAAAAAATTTACTCGTGTTAAAAATACTATAAATTTACACAATTGAGCTGAAAATCTTCACGTAAAATATTTAACAGTGGCAATTTTCATTTGTTATGTGGAACGAGTGTTTTGATTTTGGTGAACTTTCGAATTATCTTTCAAATGTCAAATATGTTTACAATATTCTCTGCTTCATAAAACACATACCTTACACGACATTTAAAAAATCTTCTATACAAAATAAAACTGCAACTTCAAAAAAAAAATCATTAACTGAACTATCTGCATAATCAGCGAAATAAAACTGAAGAACTGTTTAAATGTTTTGCATGATCTATTAATTTATGTTAAAAGTTTTCTTACTCAATGCAAAGAGGTTTTCACAAAAGAGGCAGTAGATTGAAGAAAGTCTAACTAAAACTAATATGAATATAAAATAAACTAACTAACTAAAAAGAATTTAAAAATAAAATTAACAAAACAAATAACCAATGAATAGAAAATAAAAAAAATATCAATTAGAGAATTTGAAAATTATTAATTTTATTTAATAAAGTTCAAAAATATTATTGTAAACTAAAAGAAATTGACTAAAGAAGCTTAAAAATGAGTCTCATGGAAAGATATATACACTCCAAGCAATAAATGTGAGGCGCTTGCCTTAGCTAAAGAAGAATATACAACGAATCAGATTGCTAATAAAGGATGCAAAAAATAAGGTTAGAAAAAAATAAGCAAAAAAAAATAAAAAATAAAGCTAATGAACTGTACTTGTTGAAAATCAAAGTTTAAGAAAGAATCACTACGACGCATCTTTAGAGGTAATGCACGATAATGTGACAAAAATAACAAAAATAAAGATAAAATAAAACAGTTACTGACAAAAAAGTATTTGCAGAAAATTCAAAATTCTGCTTGATGAAATAACTTCTTACGTTTTTGAATTGAGAAAAATGGGTCACGAAATGATAAAGTAGCTAATAATAAAAATCTGAGATACATTTATACAAAATATGCAAAAATATATACAGAAATGTAGAAAGCATGCAATATGCATATAGAAGATATGCAAAACTTAATCAGAAAAGTAGGCCGAGAATAAAAAAAAAGTATGAATAAACCAGCTTATAAACAAAACCTAAAGACAGAATATTTACACTACATTTATGAAGAAAAAATGTAAAAACAAAACAGAATATTTAGCCACGAAATAAATTAAAATCTATGCAAAAAGGAAAAGGCAATCGGTAAAATTAGTTGGATAAATTACATTATTTACAAATGTTGTTTTGAAATACACAGAAGGGGTAAAAAAAGGAACCATAGAAAAGTTCCTTCGTAAAACATAAATGCAAAAAAAAAAAAAAATCGAAAAATATTAATTTAGTTTGACAAAATTATAACCCTGAATTAGTGCAACGTCTAAGTACAATGTAGTAACATTCTAACTACAAGGATAATAAATTAAGATTAATCAGAACTTATAGAAATTATTATTAATTTAAGAGCAAAACATGTATTTTTTAATGCAAGAATATTTGTCTCATTCGAGTTTGCTGGAAATGAAGGCAACTATATATGCTATAAATTTCATGCACATCCCTGCAATCTAAATTCAATCTGCACCCTAATGCAATGCAATTTTAACTTTAACAAGATTTAAAATTAATTTTAGCTTTAACAAGATTTAAAGGCTGCATTAACTCTACATTTATTCTAAAATTATTTTCTATTACAAACTGGATCAGGTAGAATTTTTTCGGTTTTAAATATTGATCTACTATTGGTCTAGACAGTTTTTGATGCTTAAAAAAAATCTTTACATATATTTAAGGATATAGCCTTTTAAAGGAAACAAAACAGCCGTAAATTTTTAAATTAACTCACCCGAAATTTCTAAATATCTTTTAAAATGTTTACAGCTCTAAAAATTCTTAAGTCATAAAACTAACTTTTGATTACGATGCCAATAATTTTAAAAAAAGGGTGAAAATCTAAAAAAGTTAAAAAATTGAAGCAGGAAAAAAAACTGAAGTAAATTCTTACCCTATAAAGAAGGACCACCGATATAGGTGCCTTGCTTTTGTTGATCCGTTAGAGGCTCCTGCTTCTGTTATTTTGATGAATGCTTTGGGATTTCGTATTAGACTACCGTGAGAAAAGTCGACTTCTTTACCTGGAAGTTTTTTCTTGAACATAGACCAGAGATCCAATTTAAGTTCCTTGATCACTTTTTGGACATTATCAATAGTTTTGACTTTATTAAATACCACATTATAATAAATATGATGCAATATGCCATGAAAAGTAGTATCTGTAATATCATTAGCTTTAGCACTATATGCAAGAAGAAACCGTTTTTCGTCAACGGTAAAATATTTATATAAAGATGCGGCGTCTAAGCAATAATAATCACCCTGGTTATTAATAAGGTATTCCGCCATTGCTCGACTGGTAAGATACTGGTAAGATTGACTAATGAGAATTTCTGAAAGTAATGGATTCAAAGATATTAAACTAGTTGCACCCTTATGCCAGCTAGTACGCATGCGCAATGTACATTTTCAACTGGCCAATAGGATTGAACGTCATACGCAAGTCATTTGTTAAAGTACGCATGTATGCCGTCACCCTTTCTAAAGACTAGTAGACTCCTCCCCCAGTACGCTTGACTTACATCCCATGTGGTTTATAATTTTTCTTTTTTTTTTTACAAATGTTCTAATTTTTCAAAAAATAAATAAATTAATTAATTAATTAAAAAAGAAAAGAAGAAATTTATTTTCTTCCTAAAACGCAAAATTATCATAGTTTTATGTATGAAACTGCAAGATTAATATGATTATGATCAATCTTAACGAAGTTAATTATTTCTTAGATTTGTAAACTAATTAACTGAAATTAGGAAAAAATAAACAAAGAAATTTAAAATGTGCGACACAATAACCTAATGAGTCTGTGACATATTAATAGGTCTTTTCTGTATAAAAGTCAATTTTTTGCAAACTTTTCCTTTATATTTATATTACTGTTATATTAAATTATGTTATATATTTTTTAAAACAATAAATATATAAGAGGAGGGTAACTTTACGGCTTTAAAATTTACTGCATAAAAAAATAACATAAAATGAATATGGGAAAAAATTTTGTTAAACATACTGACTTTAAAAGTAACTTTATTTAAAAATATTTTGGGAAGCATAGTACATTTAATTTATGCATCATAACTTTGAAATAAGAAATTTATTAAAGAACACTCCTTTCACATGAATCTTTCTACATCAAATTGATAGATTCTTAAAGGACAAACACTTTTATTAGAGATTTTGGATTTTTATTAGAGATTTTTCTGTTTTTTAGACTTTTTTGCATTGATGTACAGGTGTTGATGATGTTTGCATTGATGCATTGTATTTCTCAGAAAAAAAAGGGGAAAATGACTGGTTGCGTACTTAAGTCGCCACTTTGTTTTATTGAATTGTCATGTGGAGAGTGGTTATTTTTAGGTTGGTTAGGAGTGGTTAGTTTTGCCGTAAACACCTAAAAATATACTAAATATTAATTAAAAGCCAAATCAGTCTTGACCAATTTTAACAAAGCAATGCTTTACATTAATAAGAATTTTGCAACGCAACATTTTTTCTTATATTTATAAGTACATGAAAGTGTTCTTTAAATTAATTCTTCATAGGTTAAAAATGCACTAAAAATAATAGTCTGTAACTTCCATGTTTCATAAATAGCATATATTAAGATGAATACGTTATGCGTTTACTCAAAGATAGATTGAATTTCTGTCAAACTGAATTGTTGAGTGTCTGAAATTTCACAAAAAGTGTGAATACAGTTTTCAAACATGAAAAATATGATTGATAATTTTATTGTATCCTTTGAAATGAAACACAGCAATGAATTGCGACCACCTATGACTAAAGATAAGAATTTAGGGAATCATGTCACTTTTCCTTCATCAAAGGGGGATTCAAAGTGTTCTGCATTTATTGTGAAGTCAAAAGAAGTAATAGTACAAAAGGCATAAAAATAAATAATGGTTTAAATAATTACTTCGTAACATTTTCTAACTTAAAATAACTACATTTTACTTGTTGTAAACAGTTTATGGAGTTTGACCATACTTCAGTATGGATATTGACGATAACCTTAAACCTTTTAAATTCATTTTAGGAAAAACTTTAAAGTTTTTAAGAAATTAGAAGTTTTTGCTCAAAGTGGAGTTGATGAGAAAAAAATTAGTGAATAAAAAAAGAATAGTTTATGAAAAAATTGCTAAACAGTTTTCATAAAAAATATATAATTAAATGGACGGAGCATAAATTTGTTTGCCAAAAAAGTAACTGAATTCAAAAGTTTTGAAATAAGTTTTAAAAAATTTAAAGATGTATTACCGTATCTCGGCAATCTTCTTAATACGCAATATTGTTTAAAAAAAATCATTTTATACAAGCATATGAATAAAAGCACTAATTCTTATACATTCAAATTCCTGTCCAGTTGATTATTCATTAAAAGAAAGGCTTTAGTTTGATCGTCTCAAAATTTAAAATTCTTGCTTTTCTTTTTCTTATTTAACACTGTAAAACAAGTTTAATGTAGCTTTAGTGTATAAAAATTTACGATGCATTTTTAAAAATGTATTTTATTGCATTTAAATAAAAACATTTATCATTTGAACATCTAATTGTATCAGCTAATTGCGCTTAATTTTGGTGGCGTTTCTGACAATATTTTCAAACCTTACCTCATTGCCAAGTAAATATTATTTTAATTTTTCTAAGAAATTAAACTAAAATTAAATCACTTTCCAATGAAAAATTTTTAGATTTTTTTCTCTGTTTCTTTCCCCTAATCAATTACCCAAAATGACTGAGCATTACATTAACTTTTGAAATATTAAAAAAGTTTGAACAGACATACATTTCATTTTCATACAACTTTGGCTCCCTATTAGTATAGAGCACACTGACTAAATGCTGATTAAACTTGAACTAACAGTACTGAATAATTGTCGCAAACTCACAAAAGTTATGAAACTTGCATAGTGTTTGTAAAAAACACAAGAGTATTCGAATAATATACTTCAGTTTGTCGAATTCTGCTATTCGTTCCGTTAAAAAATATTATGAATGGGCCATTCTCACTGAAAAGGTATAAATAGACTAAAAAATTTTTTTAAATTAAAGTAATTAAAAAAGCGATAAAAATTACATAAATGCCTTTTTTTATTTTTGTTATATGTCTTTATAATGATGGTCAAGTTTTCTATTTTATTTTGTTGGAGATTTAAAATATTTCATATTCTGCCTTGTGTACGGAGGAGATGTCATAGTCAACGGAGGAGACATTTTATGTTAAAAAAATATAAAATGTCAATGAAGACTAATTCATTAATTATTAAGTACAACTGATATGAGTTTAACATTAATTAGTAAATGATAAAATATTTCATTATTAGAGATAGAGCTACTTCAGATTAATCATGTTGCTATGAAAGGAAACATCCATTTTTAGCCTAGGTGTGAAATTTTTTAAGTAACTCTTACTGAATATTAATAAATTAAAATGTAAAGACAATTGAAATAAAAATTCAAACTCCACATGAAAGTTGAATGTTGAGGGTACTCTTTTATGAACATTTCATGTAAGTTAAACATACTGACATGACATACTGTCATCCAAATAACGTTTTTGTTTTTCTCTTTTCTTCTTGTTATTGTTTCTTTTTTCCCTGGGCACAAGCGGCTTGCTCTATCAATTTTTAGAAATTTAGGTACATTTAATCACGATTTTTCTGTTAAATCTTTTTCTGATACAGATTTTAAAGTTTTTTGCTCCTTTTTTTTTTTACTTTCTTCAAACGATATAGGGTTTTCTTTTAATTTCTGTCTAGCTTGTCTCATTCTAAGTTTCTGTTCCGTTTTTTTTGNTCTGATACAAATTTTAAAGTTTCCTGCTCCTTTTTTTTTTTACTTTCTTCAAACGATATAGGGTTTTCTTTTAATTTCTGTCTAGCTTATCTCATTCTAAGTTTTTTCTGTTCCCTTTTTTTTGTATTTGAACATTTGATTGCTTTCTTTTTTTACATTTTGGTTTTATCATTTTTTTTTTTAAATTTGTTTAACAGACATTAAAAATTATTTTGTGCCACAGACGTAGGGACGTCCACGGAGGGGATTTTGAAGACATGTTTATTAAATAATAAGAATGAAATATTAAATATATTTAGAAGGAATGCATATGATTTGTTAGTTAGAACTTTACGCAAAATGATGAAGAAAAATATTTAGAAATCTTCTGTATTTACTAATATTTATTAATAAGAGACTTAAAAAATCACCTTTTTGTAAGAATGACCCGAATGCACTTCTACTCAAACAGCACCTAATTTGGTTTTTCTCTATTAGTTTTTTATCTTTCAGTCTAATGGTTTTACCTTATTTTATAACAGTCATTAAATAACCGACCTTATTTTTGTGTTAACAATTTCTAGTGTTAAATTCCATAACCTTGTAACTTTGAACCCAATTCAGATGACAAGGGAACTCTCGGATCAAGTATTGGGGATAAATTTGGAGGAGGACACTTTATGGAGGACATTCTGAGGGGATTAACCCGCATTTGCTTTACATTGAAGGGAAAATCATAAAAACCTCTCACAGTTAGCCTGACGGCAAGGTGACTCTAGCCCATGATCCGTCTACTACTGAAGATATACCGTCCACTACTGAAGATATTCCGTCTACTACTGAAGATATCTTACGCCAGCACTGTGGTCGGTGCGAGCCGGGTGCCACATTTTCATCGACCAGCCATCGCTGTGATCGCTTCGCTTCGTTCTGGTCATTCAGCCATCCCTTCGTTCAGTTAAGTTTACTTTTCGCACATTGTTTTTTATATTTTAATGGAAGCCGCGCTGGCTCAGGTGATAGGGCGTTCGCCTCTACCGGCGATGGTTGGTCTACACGAATTCCGCATCCGGCAGGAGTTCCCCTGTTTTTTGGATTGGGTTCAGAATTACAAGGCTATGGAGTTGAACATTAGTAGTCGTAAACCAAAAAAATTGGATCAGCTGTTCGACGGTTATAAAAATAAAATAAAATATATTTTAAAATGTACTTTTTTTAAAATTTGTACCTGAAACTGAAATTAATTGTGCAATATTGGCGTCAATAACAATATGGTAAGTTTTTTTTATTTTTTCTATAATCTGTGGTGACTTCTCACTATTAGATTTACCGTAATAGAGAAGTCCACTTGAAATAAGATAATGAAATTGAAGTTAATCAAGACAACATGGCAAAATTTAGGAAATTGTAATATATATATATATATATATATATCGNATATATATATATAATTTCGTAATATTTAGAATTTACTAAATCTTTCCATGTCTTGATTAACTTCAATTTCATTTACTTCTTAACACTTAATTAGCGTCTACGAAAATCATAAACGCTATAAATAGTGGGTCACACAAGCTTCCATTTATTGAATTTGCATATGTTAACAACACAGGACATCTTTAAATAAAAAGGCTACATT